ATACCCCCCAATAATAGCAATAATTTACATTGCCACATCACTTTACAATTACAAAACACCTAACATTCATCTCTCATTTGATTTTTACAACAAACCTTTATTAAATGCCTACTGTGTGCAGAATTCTGTGCCAAGGAAGGAGATACAAAGTTGAGATAAGCTCTTGACTTCATGGAGCTCAAAGTCAAGGAAAGGGAAAAGATGCTAACACAGGTCACTACGTTGCATAATCTTACAGGGCAATTGCATCAGAGAGTTATGGGTAAATGGTATGTGAAATCCGATGGGAGTGGAGTGGGTGGGTGGGTGGAGAGAACTCATTACCAGCTGAGAGATCAGGGAAGACTTCCTGGAGCAGGAAGCATTTAAATGGGCCTTTAAAGAAAGACTGGGAGGGAGGGAATTGCCAGCAAAGAGAAAAGTGTGAGCAAGGTCACTGAAGCATGTGAGCTCTGTGTGCTTTGGGGTGGGGCAAAGAGGCTTGAGAAGTCAGGAAAAGGCATGCTGGACAGAGGGCAGTCTCATTTTGGCCAGAGAACAGAATGCTTGGAGGGCCATCACACAGGAATAAGGCTGGAAAGGTAATGTTCCCATGAGGCAGGTAATGCAAGTATTATTGGCTCCATTTTATAGATGAGGACACTGAGGATCTCGGGAATTAAATGCTTTATTCAAGGTTACACAGACAGTCAATGGCAAATCTGTGATGGCAAGCCAAGTTTCCTCACTTTAAATCGAGTGCTTTTTCCATGCTGCTTTGTGAAAGTGGACATTTCTTCATACCCCCATATCAAGGGCATATCCATGACCCTCTCCCCATTCTAGCCTAGACCCTGGATTTGGGCCAAAAGAGGCAGCATAGTATAATGCAAAGAGTCTTGCATTTGGACTGAGTTTAATTCTGCTAGTAACTAGCTATGTGATGTTGGCCAAGTCATTTACCCTCTCTGGGTCTCAGTTTCCCCATATGTAAAATAAGAGGGTTAGCTTAGATGACCTCTAACGCTTCTACCTCTAAACCCCTAACATTTGATTCAGGATAGGGCTAGCACACACTTAGAAGTTGATTGTAGATCCTCAGCTGCCACAGCAGCTGAGATTGGCAAGATAGATAGGTGGGTCAGTCTGAACAATGCAGGAAAAAATGGCACAGACTGGGCTGGGCTGGTGCTGCTAAGGAGAACATTCCAGCAGCCTTGGGCAGATAGGCTTGTCCACCCGCCCTCCCCCTAGGCTGACAGGTGCTCCTAGGAAGGCTAGCCTTTATATTTTTAGCCTTGGCACCTGGCACCTGCCCATTCACTCCATCTCTGCCTGCCTTCACCTCACCTCCTGGTCTTTAACCCTAACCAGGAAGGGGGCAGCTCTTGGGCTAGGACAGGTGATGTGAGAGGGCAGGCATCTTCTCGAGGAAAGGATAATCATTCTCTAAGGGAATGAGGAGAAGGGGTCGGAGGCAGCAGATGTATGTGGAGGGTGCCCATAAAGGGAAGATCCTGGGACTTTAGGACCAAAGGAGGTTGTGATTGATGGTGCTTGGAAGTGAGGAGAATGGACCCTCCTAATGGGGAGGCCTGCAGATTACTCACTGCAGAAGACTGGACCTGATGACTGTAAAGACGGCTAAAGGTCCTGAGGGACCTTTAGAATAATTGTGTCATGGCAAGAAAAGGCCTTAAAGGGCCTAGTCTAACCCTCCCATTTTACTGTGACTGAGGGAAGGTCAAATATTGAGTAAGGCTAGTACAAGATTCCAACATTCCAGATTCCTTTGAAGTCCATTACTCTTTCCCCCTTTACCACATTACCTCTCATTAACCCTGCGGTAATTATACTAGTGTGGGAGAAGACAGGGGAGGGAGACCAGTTGGCTGGGAGCAGGGACAGGGTAAAGAGAGTTGAAGGAAAAGCCAGGAGGGCCCTTGGGTTTTAAGGAGGAAGAGAATGGAGCTGGGAAACAGATAATCACAACCTTCTATCCTTCTGTCTCTCCTATTCCCACATTTCTACTGAACCTGTTTTTTGCCAACATCTTAACCCTCTCTCTGTTTTCTCTTCTATCAACCTTCTATCATCACGTAACTTCCTACCCTTCCTGGAACCAAAGGCCAGCCATTTCAGTGATGTTCTCAGTGGTGCCCTAGAATCAATCAGTTTCTCTCTTGTCCCATTCTACTTTGCTTTTAAGCTAAGGGGACCTGCTTCTCCTTGCTGCCTTTCACTGGGTCTTTTCTCCTCCTGAATGTCCCCCCAAGGAAGGTGTTGCCAAGACTGTCCTTAGTGTTCTTTCTTTTCTCTTCCCTTGGTGACCCTCTCTCCTTCCATACCTTTACGCTTAGCCCATCAAGGTTGCCTTCAAATATCTTCCACTCTGTGGTTCTTAACTCTAGAACCAAATCTTCAACTCCCTGTTAGACACTTTCACCTGAATGTTCCACCAAATGCCAGATCCAACATGTCCTCAAGCAAAATCTTCATTTTCCCTCTCAAAACTCTTGTCTTCCCCATTTCTGCTAATGGTACCACCATCCTCTTCTTCACTTAAGGCTGGAAAACTTTCTGTTGTTCAGCTGTTTTTTAGTCATACATGACTCTTTGTGACCCCATTTGTTTTGTTTTTTCTTTTTGGCAAAGATATTGGAGTGGTTTGCCATTTCCTTCTCCAGCTCATTTTACGGGAAAGGAAATTGAGGCAAATAGAGTTAAGTGACTTGCCTAGGGTCACACAGGCTAGTAAGTGTATATAGCTGAATTTGAACTCATGAAGATGAGTCTTCCTGACTCCAGGCACAGCACTCTATCTGAAAAGTCAGAGCCAACTTTGACTTCAGTTGTTAAGTCTGGTCTATTCTTTTATAATTTTACCTTATCTCTACTCCTACTGCTGTTGGCCTAACTCAGGCTTTCATGTCCTCATGGCTAGATGATTATAATAGTCTCCAAAGATGTTTCTCCACTTTAATTTATCCTGCTTAGTGCCCCACATACCCTAAAAATATCCATATCCCTGTATGTTAATATATATTAACCCATACCTAAACCCTACACAAAACACACTCTAGATGCCATACAAGTATACAGACACGTACAAAAAGATACCCACTGCTTCCTACACATGTATGTGATACAACCTTACAGACACCCCTTCTAAACAGACTCCATTTATACACCTTCTACATATATACACATATAACAACACCCTTCGTACTATATTTTATCCCTATTGGCACACACACACATAGCCAATGCACTTCCTAACACACACAAAGGATGGACAAGAGCACAGCCGTCAGTTCTCCCAGAAGACTGAGGCAAGATCCACATCTTAAACTCCTCCCTCAGGGAGCCCATGCATCCCAGGTCTCCCTTGATCCATGTCCAGAACCATCATCTGCGCCCAGCTGCCTCTCCTGGCTAGGCTGGACTGTGTGGCTGGAGGGAGGTTTCCTGGATTTCATGGATGGATTTTGTGTGTATAGGGTGTCCCCAATCCCAGAATCCCCTGAACCTTTTTGTTCCAGATTGGGTGATGATGCACGGAGCCCAGCTAATGACTTGGGACTACCATCAAGGGTCCCTAAAATGGTCATTTCTTTCCACTTTCTCTTCTGACTTCTCCCCTCCTCTGCCTGTTGCCTACAGGGCAGAGAGCCAAGGAGAACTCAGGCACTGAAAACTGGTCCCATGTGTTTGTGTGGGTGTGTGTATTGCTCACGTGCAAGTCTGGGCATTCGTGGATGTGGGGGTCTTTGTGTTTGTGTGAGCACACTTATGGGGAGGGGGGGCAGGCAGGACAAAGAGGTCAGAGGCAGTAGCTATGCTCAGCTGATCTCAGGCCTCAGAGCTTTCAGGGAAACATGAGACCTCCTTTACAATTTTCCCAACCCAAAAGCAAGTGCATTAACTACCAGTAACCCACTCTGACCACAGACCTCCAAGAAATGGACTGAATGTTGGCAGCTGGAGACAGGGGTCACCTCTGCTCCAAGCCCCACCCACACACTATGGCCTACAGCCTGAATCAGCACCCAGAGAGGGAGAGCTCTAAGGGCCTGGGAAGGGCCCAGACAGCTCCACCCAAAGTAGATAGGAGAAAGCCTGAAGCAATATGGCATAGGAGAAAGCTTTGGAAAAAGAGCCAGACCTAATTCTAGTACTGACTTTGCTGCTAGTTTGTCCTGTACTCTCATTGTGAGCCTCAGTTTCCCCTTATGTAAAATATGGGGATTAGTCTAGGTGAAATTTAAGGGTCCCTGATAGTATTGACGTTCTAAGATTCTATTCTATGCCAGAGAGGACTAGGGCCCCCCATCTATGCTTGGAGGTGGGAGTAGAGGTGTGGGGGGGTGATGATTCTGAGCCAAAGCATGTGTCTGGAGGAATGGGGCTGCCCCAGCTGCCATTATGTCGGGTTGTAAGCAGATGATTCACCTTCCTCCCCCCTCCAATTAGGCAGACACACACCTCAGACATCCCCCACCGTCCTTTCCTTCCAACTTCTCCCACCTCCCCCCCACCAAAGTACCAGGGATTCCAGGAATCCAGGGTATGTGTAGGGAGGGTAAAGCCACCAGAACTGGGCAGAGCTGCATTCCACTCCTTAGCCAGGGACATGTGCCCAAAGGGACCCTGAGTCCTGGCTGTGGCACAAGGGCCAGGGGCACCCTGCTGAGAAGGGTGTGAGAGGACACAGTAATCATATACAGTGACAACATACATACTCCCAGAGTCACCTAGTATAGATCCATATGGCAAAACCATACATCCCACTGGTGGCCCCGTGATTCCCTTCTCTGTCACCCTCTTCCAATCCTTGCTCATATGACACCCATCCTGATCCTTCCCCCGTGAGAGCCATGCTATTCTTGTCCCTTATGACTCCCACCCTCTCTCTGCCCTAGTGACCCTGTGACCCCAAACTGAGCTCAGTACCAGTTAGGACTTTACTGCCAAGGGAGCCCCAGGCATCATCTCCATGGGATGCCATCAGTGGCACTGACCTCTGAAGTGGAAGGGTCTCCAGGGGTTCCTCTTCCTTGTGAAGGCAGATAAAGCAGAAGGCTTGGATGTCCTCGGCCCCACAGCCTGTTGGCCAGGGAGGGGGCAGGTCCAGGATGGGGCAGGTGTAGCAGGTAGCAGAAGAAGAAGCTTCCTCATCATTGTTGTCCACAGCCTCCCCAAGGCCCCCAGAGCCGGTGCTGGCCAGAGTCAGCAGTCCATCTTCCTCCTGACCGCAGGGCCTCCAGCCCCCATCCTGTACCTTCTCCCCCAGGTTGCCCGTCTCCCTGGTGTGTGGAAGAGCCTGGGGCTCCCCCTGGCCACTCACGCTGCCTTCCCCTGGGGGCCCAGCTGCCAGACTCAGATCTAGGATGTCCCTGGGCTGGGGCCCTGCCTTCTTGGGGAGCCCAAGTTAAGAAGCAGGAGATGGTGGAATCCAGCTGTCCTCCCAGCAGAGGGCTAACCCAGGTGGTCCCCTGGGCATGGAACCAAGTTCAGGGTCTGGAGTCCTCTGAGGTTCTATTTTTGCCCCAAGCAGAGCCAGACACCCCACCTTGTGTCCCCCTGACCTCAGCAGCTGAAAATCAAGCCTGGTCCCTGGTCTTCCCAGAGGGGCAGGGATGGGAGGGCAAGCTTGGGGATTCCCACGGGGGCCAACGAGCAGGAGTGGCACCTGGGAAAGTTTGCTCTTTCCTGCTGGCTGCAGCTCAGGGGAGCCAGAGGAGTGACTGATGTCTGGGAGCTGGCTGATCAACCCTCTACCCTGGCTACCCCACCCCTCGTGTGGCAGAGGAGTCCTTGGCTACTCTGAGGTAATCTCTGGTGCTCCCTTGTGGAGGAAAGTTCTGGCCCCCCCTGAGCCCTGCTTCCCCCTTGTCAGTCTGGCTGGGTTCTGATGAGACCAGACCAGCGGCTCCTCACTCTCACTCTCTCTGACTCTGACAGATCAGCGACTGACTGTGTGTGTATTAATAGCTCGAGATTCACGCTGAGAGGCAAGGAGGTTAACTCCTTCTTCACCAGAGCCCTGGAGACGCTGTGCTATGTTTCTGCCCATCTGCATTGAGAACCAAGACAAATGGGGGGAAGCCTGTACAGTTGGCTTGGGGCCCAGGAGGAGTCAACCAGCCTGTCCCTTCCCCACACTGAGAAGGACATTAAGAGAAATTCTCCAGTACATGACCCACCCTCCTCTCCAAACAGATTGTGCTGGGGACTCGGGACTGCTTGAGTCCATCTACCCCACCCCTATGCCACTCACTGGACAGTTTATATATCCTTACTATGATAGCTCAGGGGTTAATGAAAGCAGTGCTTTCAAGGTTAAGGTCATAGATTTCATTACCTTGTGGGTCAGTTAACTTGCCTTTGGCTTATGACCATCTCTGGCTAAGGGCATTTAGGTGACACAGTAGATATAAAGTGTTGGGCCTGGAGTCAAGAAGACCTGAGTTCAAATCCGGTCTCAGACACTTATTAACTGGTCAAGTCACTTAACCCTGTTTGCCTCAGTTTCCTCATCTGTAAAGTGAACCGGAGAAGGAAATGGCAGACCACTCTAGTATCTTTGCCAAGAAAACCCCATGAGGTTATGTAGAGTCAGACAGAACAGAACAACAAATCTAGCTAAGTCTGCCCTAATCCTTATCACAGACTTACCATTTCACCATTTCATCCCGAACTCCCCATTCAGCTCTAGTCCCAGACTGATCCCTCACTCTTGAAACAGACTGACTTTCAACCCCTATTTTAGACTGAACCATGACCCTGGCCACAGGCTGGTAAGCCCCTCCTCAAACCCAACCACAGACTGGGCCCTAACCCTGGTCATACATACAGTCTAAGCTCTGGCCACAAAGTGACTCCCTAATTCCAGTCTCACACTGACCTCTGACCCTTGAACTCTAACTATTACAAATATATTTTGTTGGTCATAGGCACTAGATGAGAATGTTGAGGGTTCCTTGCAGCTTGCCCCCAGCCTTATTCCTATAATTGGTGACAAGGCTCAGAGCCTGAAGGAAGGTCAGGAAAGGGATCCTCTTCTGGGAAGGGAAGCACATTGATTGTTCTTATGGAAATGACACCAGCTAAAGCTGCTGAGTGTCTGTAAGCTCCACAGATGGCTTGGGAGGAGCAGTATTTGGTGGTAGTGTTTTTTTCTGGACTATATTGTCTCAGTGTGAGTGTGGGGAAGGGAATGTGTGTGTGGCCTCCCTTTGGGGGTAGAAAGGATAGAGCCTTTCCAAGGGGTTCCAAGGTGGCCAATCTGTGTTCTAGCTTGGAGGGTCAGGTGTGGCTTGGGATTCAAGTGGGGTTGTAGGATCAGGACTGAGAAGACCTCTTCAAGGTGATGTATGCCTTGGCACTGTCCACTGGAGCTGGTTATACTGTAACTTTGTGTCAGTGGCCCAGAACTACTTCTTTCCAGGTTCCAGGAAAGGTACTTCCTTCCCCCACTACCCAGGAATCAGGGGAGGGAGGATGAGCAGGAGGGCCAGGAGGCCTTGGGGAGCTTCGGGAAAGTGAATGCCTTTGGAAGGAAGGAATAAGGGTGTGGTTAGAGACCCAGGAAGGGGGGGCCAGCTGGACCTCCTACGCCCAGTTTGGAGCCTAGAGATGTGCAGAGGAGGACCCTAGAGAAGGTCCCCATTCCCCGACTCACTGCTGTCTCATTCTGGGGAGGGGTAGAGAGGAAACAGGGACAGGCCTCCTACCTCTCAATCAACCTGGCCCAGCCTGGCTGGGGGAGGAAGAAGGAGGGAGGAGAAAAAGGGAGGGTAATAGACGCAAGGGGGGTGGGGAAGGGCCTGATCTAGTAGGTCCACTGCAGTCCTGTTCCAATCTGGTCCAAGGGTCAGCTCTGAAGAATGGCTTTCACTTCTCTGAAGAAAGAGGCTGCTTCAGTTAGGGGGAAGGTATTGTGGGAGAGGCTGAGCAGAGATTGGAATGGATGAGGGACACGCTGTTTTGGGGGGTGTTTTGGTGTGTATTTGGGGCAAGGGGGACCTCCAGGAGGCTCTTTTCCTCCATGAAGGCCAGATGGTTATGAGTCTTTGGGGGGGTAGGGGCTTCTGCAAACCCCATTCCCAAAGAACAGAGCCTAAGGTCTGGAAGGCAGCCTCATTCCCCACTTGAGCCCACTTCCAGTATATGGGAGAAGCATCATTTGTCAAGCTGAAGGTACCTGGCTCCTGTGTTCCTCTCCTGCTATGGTTCCTGGGCTATTTCTGTCTGTACCTTCTCTCCTCAAACCTTGGACACTTGTAATCTTGAGGGGAGTGGGAGCTCTTTTTAGAAACCAAGGAGGAGCCTGTGTGTTCCCTAGGCTGCCACCATCGCCATCAGGTTGGCTGGAGGAGTCTTGCTGGGGCAGGACCAAATAGAGGGTGACCCTGTGTGGGGAGGACAGGCTGGGCCAGAGGATTTCAGGCCTATGCTGGGAATGGAGATTAGGCTGAAGAAGCCACCAAGAAGCAGCTTCAGTCTGGGGGACAGAGGCAAAAGAACTGGGGATCAGATTTGGGTTAATGAGTCCCAGTTTCTTGGGCTGTCTATGTCTGAGAGGTATTGGGGTGTTGTCCTTTTTATGTTCTTTGAACTTGAAGTCCCTGCTTACATCAAAAAGTCACTGCCCTCAGCTCACTTGTTCGATTTCCCCTCCCTTTGGCCAAGAGACAAAGCATGATTTTGGCAGATGAGGGGGAAAAGAGAAAAAGGAAAGGAAGGGAGGAGGGGCTGGCTGTGCATTAGCCACTTTCAAGACTTCAAGAAGCCTTGCCTCAATTCTGGGGGTCCCCTTGGCAGAGGAGTGTGGCCTAATACTCCTAATGTGTAATACCTGGCCAGGGTAGTCATAGAATATAGAATTTCAGAGCAGGCAGAGGGAGTCAGCTGATTTAACCCCCTTAACTTTCAGAAGTGGGACACTTTGGGTCTGGCAGACCAGGAGAGAGAAGAAGGTTGAAAAAAAAAAAGAAGATAAGAGAGGCAGTGGACTGGGGGAACTATTATTATTTAATACAGCAATAGCAATAATAATGATATCTCACAGTTATATCTAGATTCTCAGCTTATAGTCCAAGGCACTTCTGTGTCATAGATAATATGAGTTTCATTCTTGTTTTACAGATGAGAAAAATGAGGCTTATAGGGCTTATGGGGAGGGGGGAATACTGATTTGCTCAGGTCATTGAGCATTCATACAAGTGCGTTACACAGGCCTTCCCTTATGCCTAGAATGAATTCAATTCAACGGAGCACCTGTTTAAAGGTCAGAGACCCTCACACTTTTATTTGTGTTCCTCTAGTCTGGCATCTGGCATTATGCTTTTCATATAGGTGAATAAGACATTTTGGTTGAACTGAGAAGGCTGAATCTAGCAGGTGAGTCCAGGTCCTCTCACTCTTAAGTGTTGTGTTTTCCCCTTCTCTGCCATGGGTTTTAGTTTGGCTCTGCCACTTTATTCCTTGCCTGACCTTGGGAAAAACACTTTCCCATTCTAAGCCTTAGTTTCTTCCTCTGTAAGATGACCAGATGATTTCTTCATTCTATGATATGGGATGACTATCTGGATTCCTATGGGTTTGGGTCCCTCACAGAAGGGAGGAGCCCAAAGGGGTCACTTCCAGAGTTCCCTGGAGTGGGAGGAGTGGGGGTATCCCAGGCCTCTCAGAGCTTTGGCTTGCCCTCGGTTGGGTTGTCATGTTTAGATTTTAATTATTGATGATTCTGGGTCTTTCTTTTTTTTCTAATGCATCTCTTTGATGGAAGTTCTTCAGCTAATGGGGAAAATCAATAGGTTTTAATTCCTAGTGGCTGTGAAGCTTTCTCTAATCTTCCAGTGGCTAGGCCCATCTGCAGCAGTTGGTAGAGTGGGGGCTGGGAAAATTAGGCCTGCGTACTATTCCCTACTTGGAGGAGCAGGCCAGCCCCTCAGGATGGGGCCAAATAGTTCTAGTTCCTTTCACCCTTATCCCGGAACATGGGAGTATCTTCATTGGACTCTCTGGCAGTGGAATTAGCCTAGTCCTGGGATATGGGGTGGGTATCTTTAAAGTTCTTAGTTCTGTCTTGGGAGCAGCACCTTGGGTGGCAGTTTATGAGCTGATGGCCTGGCATCCCCTTGTAAGACCCCAGTGAAAGCCCAGGCTTTCTAGGAAACCTAATCCTTGTGTATCTTGGATTGCTTCCATCCTAAGAACATGGAAGAAAAAAAAAAAAAGAACATGGAAGACCCTGAATCTTTGGTGGAGCCTTATCCTAGAATGTCCTGTTCATATATATCTCTTCCTTCTTAACAACCCCCCTCCCTATTCCCAGGCATTTGGAGATGGAATGCTGGAAGTACGCCTGAGCAGTTTTTTTCTATCTGACAGGTGTAACCTGTGTCCCCAAACTGTGTCTCTGGGCTCACTGGGGTTCAGCCTTGGGGGCTTCTCAATAATAGTCTTTAGATTGGGCTTCCACCCAATAATTCCCCAGGGATCATCAGTATCTGGCTCAATTTCCTGCTTTCACATTGTCCTCATTTAACCTGCTTACACAACAAGCAAACAAGTCTTGGGACATAGAACAAGCTTATTACATATGTAACAGGGGTTAGACCTTTGGGGACCACTTCATGGAGCTTGTGCTGAGTTGCCCTGGCCTCTCAATACATGGGGCTGAATGCTGAAAGACTTGGGTGTTTTGGCTTGGTGAAGCAATTTCCTAAATAGGCCCTTGGTCTTTGGAAGCAAGAGGTGTCTTTGGTCCAAGAAAAATTGGCCAATAATTCCAGAAGAGTGCCTCATTGTCCACTAAAGAATGAACCCATCCTCTAGCTCTCAGAACTCAGAGTATCTATCTCCCTGGCCTTCCCATGAGTTATGGGGAAGGAGCTGCCCTTCTCCCACAGTGGCAGCATGGCAGCCTCAAGCATGATGGCCAAAGCCTGTGCTGGCTT